CCTTATCAGACACACACACACACACACACACACACACTTAAAGATAACGCCTGCAGCAGGAGAGGCGGCCTCAATGAGACCAGGCGAGCAGGAGAAGAGGCTAAATGTTGATTTGACGCTGAGTTTTAAAAGAAAGGAGGTGTCGACGTGTAATCTGCAGCCTTCAGAGGGATGTTAGTACGAGGGAGGTGGGAGTCATGGTTACGTTTCCCTCTGTTACTGCACCGAAAACAAGAAAAACTTAAACTTGGTGGATCATTCGACGAATCAGAGAATTTTTTTGTGCCAGAAGTTTTAAGACACCATTTAAATTTGGCCTAAAATGTCAGAATTGATTAGTGTGAGTAAAATTTTAATTTATTTCACAGCTGTTAACTATGAAATAAATAACTTCAGTTTTTCTGAGTAATTTACTTTTGGGGTTCTATTTTTGAATAAGGTTTTCTGTTTTTTCTGACAAATTTTTTTTTCTTCAGTTTTTCAGACAAATTTTTTTTCTGAATTATCGAGATCTCGAACTCCAGCAAGAACCTGCAAGTGACTCCCATGGACCTATGGTGACTCCTGCCCGCACATACATCTCAGAAGATCTGAGCTTTCCTACTCAACAACCGCAAAGTCCTCATGTGTCTGCGTGGAGTCGACAAACTAATGATAACACATCGATCTGACTTAAAGACAGGACGATCTCCCAGAGTCTGAAACTTCTCAATAAAGGAATGAATGCATCTATTGTTTCAAACATTCTCTATAAACTCAGAAAAAAAATTTTGTCCTAAAAACGGAAGGAAAAAAATTTGTCAGAAAAACTAAAAAATAAGAAAAATTTGTCCGAAAAACTGAAAAAATTTGTCTGAAAAATTGAAAAAAAACTTTTTTTTTCAAGTGACTGCAATACGTAGTTAACGACCAACCATCATAAGATAATTTAAGTGTTTAGTATTAAAGTAAAATTAAAATGTTTTTTCAATTTAGTTTCAATCATTAGACAAACATTTTTTTTATTTTTAATTGTCAGGCTTCTGCACTGACGACTGACGCACTGACATTACGTTTTTAAAATTTTAACATGTGATGTTTCAGAATCGTCTTTAAATTCAAACGTTCTTCAGACTTGAGGTAAAATAGATTTTTGCTGCGAAAGGTCAGAGGTCAAGGTTACATCCGACACAGACGTCCAGCTCGGACCAGTTAGAGAGATTTCACACAAACGTCTCGGAGCAGAAATGTAAAGACGTTTTTTTTTTTTATATCTGAGAGGTCAAAGGTCGGCTTCTCCTGTAAAAACACGTTTAAAGCCATTTACTCAATAACTGGTTGTTGGTTGGACTGCGAGCCGCTAACTCTCGTTTTTATGAATTTGAAATAATGAAGTAACACAGAGAAGGATCCCCACGTGTTGTACATACCCATCTACTGTATTTTAGTCAGACCGAAATCACAAAGCAAGGCACATGTTTCAAAGAAAAACTGAATGTTGCATTTGAAAACAATTTCAAAAATAATACAACAAGAATCGCTTGCATTATACACATCGGACACATGTACACATGTAGGCAGAGGAAAACATAAAAAAATTCATAATAATAACAATTAGAAAAAGCTTTCTGGAAATATCCCGACATCCTACGATGATTCATCAGCTCGGACCACTGAAGCATGGAGAAGCAAACGGATTCAACACTCAGATTAGATTGTTTACTTTGAAAAATAGTCTTCAGGAGGACACACACATCATAAATACACGTTTTTTTGCAAATATCCATATATATATAATCTCTATGTGATCATAATTTAAATACCACAGCTATTCTCTGAAATCGTAATCATTTATATGCGGAGTGTTTCCGCTGTGGGACTGTGAAACGTAGATCTCGACCTCCGGATCAGGTCGTGGTCGTCTTCAGGACGTTAACACTAACAAAACATCCAGCTTCACTACGCCCCGCCCACTCGCTCCATCTTAACACCTTAATCTTTTTT